TCCCTCCCTCCTCTCTCTCTCTCTCTCTCTCTCTCTCTTTCTCTCTTCCTCGTTTTCTCTCTCGCGTGGTCTTCGGTCGCGTAAATTTTCGTGGGTCCCCGAGATGATGTGCCGTACGATGATCTCGTGTATCTCGCTCTCGCGAATCCGACGTTAATCGTCTCGCGTATCGTGTTACCGTGTCCCGCGGAATCACCGTAAATTTCGCGATAGCGTGCGCTTGGTGCCGATAATATTTCTTCGCGCGTGCCGGTTCTTCATTGAGTGAGAGAGAGGCGCGACGGGCTCTCCTCCATGTAACCCGCCGTAACCACGTGCTTGAAAATCCAGTCGGACGTTGTCGGCTCTCGCGCGCCAGTACAACCGTCGTGCACGATCGGACGCTTCCCCGCGTTTTCTATCCGGAGACGTCGTCCGGGGGATTCAGGTTCCTCGCGACGCCGGGAACGGATCGTTGCCGATATCGCGCGCTGAAATACGCCGATTGTTTCCGGAGCGCACGAGCACCGAGAAAATTCCACCGCGTTCACAGAGGCATGCCGAAGGGATGACGGAATTCGTGGACGGTTGGTTCCTGGGGCACACCCTCGGCGAGGGTGCCTACGGCGAGTACGTTTTCCTACTTCGTCCTTTGTTAACACCTAGTGATCGTCCGCATGCGGCCCGCATTCCTTCCCGCGATAGATATTCGGCCGCGACCTCTCGAGGTCCATTGTTCCCATTGTTCGGGACGCACGTTAAGACGTTCGTTTCGTCCTTACGAAGTCCCGATTAATTTACTATGGTTTCCATTGTTCCTGAATCTTCACAGGCAAATTATCTTTTACGTTTATGCAGAAATTTATTAATTACAGAAATTAACATATAACATGTATTCTGTTGCAATTATAATTGATTTTGTATTTTTTGTACAGGGTTAAACTGGTTATAAATAAATCTACAGGCGAAGCTGTTGCTATGAAAATGATCGATGTAAAGAAACATCCGGATGCAAGGGAGACAGTCTGCAAGGAAACTGCTATTCATTATAAGCTTTCAAATCCAAATGTTATACACTATTTTGGAAAACGCAGTGAGCCCAACATGGAATATATTTTTCTAGAATATGCTTCAGGCGGAGAGTTGTTTGATAGAATCGGTAAGATTCTACTGGAACTGAGATACATAAAAATATATAGAATATAGAATTATTGAAAGATGCAAGATTAAACTTTAAATCGTTTACAGAACCTGATATTGGTATGCCGATATTCGAAGCACAAAAATATTTTAGACAATTAATTTCTGGAGTAGAGTATCTGCACATTCAGGGGGTCGCGCATAGAGATTTGAAACCAGAGAACTTGCTTCTAGATAATAATGATAATTTAAAAATAAGCGACTTTGGAATGGCGACAATATTCCGTATACGAGATAAAGAACGTTTGTTGGACAAAAAATGTGGAACGTTGCCATATGTTGCACCAGAGGTACTAGTAAGACCATACCATGCAGAACCTGCGGATATATGGTCTTGCGGAATTATTCTCATAGCTTTATTGGCTGGAGGTAAATATTGTGAAACTGTATATATATATATAAAAAGAAGATTATTTCTTGCTTCGGTATCTTTGTTAATAATTTTATTATGCATTTCAATTTATGCACTAATATGTACACAATTGATTCGTTAATTTTCTATAATTTATAATTGTAAATCGAGAACTGCAAATAAGTCATGTAGCAAATGTATCTTCCAACTTGAAACTTATTGGGATATCCAATATCTAACTTATATTCCTGTTTAACTGGTTCAACAGTTTTTAACTGGTCCATGTCTGAAATATAGAATTGCCATGGGATCAACCTTTGGCAGGCTATCCTGAATATGTCGCATGGAAAGAAGGGAAATATATGTCTCTTACGCCATGGAAGAAACTAGACAATATCTCGTTATCGTTAATAAGAAAAATTCTTACGGATTCGTCGTCAGCGAGGTACAAAGTGCCAAATATCAAGCAACACAGATGGTTTGTCACAAATTTTGCCAGAGGTAAAAAAAAGACAGTGTTTTATATCGGCATCTTTAAAAACGTACAATTAATAATGGGTCCATTTTTTGGGATTAATATTTAGAAGATCAACAGTTGGATGTATCAGAATAGTGTTTACTTAGTCAGGTACTGAGTGACTCTGAGTATAAGTAAAGTTACTCAAAGGAACTCTGTACCTAACTTAGTGGATACTATATTCGACGAATATCGTTTATCGCTTAATTCTTTTCAGCATGGACTTCATTAATATTAATTAGGACTACGAAGCATACTACAGTTATATTGGTTTTGCAATCGGCAAAGCTCTTGCCTTTTCTTTGGTAATACAGCTCTATGAGTTAATCAATCATCATAAAGCTAGATTACCAAAGCAGAGAGCATTGGCATATACTTCCATATAACAAAATAGTGTAAATTTTAAATTTCAAATTTTATGTAGAATAAATATATTAATAGTGAACTAAGTAATAAATCGTGCATAAAGTCTATTTCACGCATTCATTTTCTATGTAAGATTCATTTTCTATACAGACATGAATATATCTATTCATTTCAGATCAAGTAGATGGACGGAATTATTTAAATCAGACAGAGGATGAAAGTTTACGAAATGTCTGTTTATCTCAACCTGAATTCCCTGGTGTAGAAAATAATGATATAATTCGATTCAATTTAGACGAACGTCCAACATTCTCATTTTCTCAACCTGCTCATATGGAAGATATGTTAGTAGCTACACAATTACAAGCGTTTACACAGCCCAGTCAGGTATATTTTTTACTTAAAACAAACTTTAAATAAAATAACCTTAAAATAACCTTTTTAAAAATATTTATGTTATTTTATATTTCAGCAAAATTCCTTTCAAAGACTAGTTCGGCGAATGACTAGATTCTTTGTTAAAATAGAATGTGAGGAAATTGTGAAGAAATTAAAGAAGTATTGCGAGAAAGAAAATTATACTTATCGCGTTAATGAATTCGGTGTGGTAAGTCAGAAATCAATTCAACTGTGAATAAACTCAAAAGAGTACGATGATTTTATTGTATTTTTTCAGGTCACGATATCGACGGTAGATCGGCGTAAAATGCATCTAGTTTTTAAAGTAAATTTCATAGAAATGGACGGAAATATACTAGTTGATTTTCGCTTGTCTAAAGGTTGCGGTTTGGAATTTAAAAGAGCGTTCATCAAGATCAGATATGCGATGGAAGATGTTATTGTGAAAAGTTCCGCGGTATACTCGAAGAGTTAATAATTGTTATAAATTTGTAATAAATATAAGATCATGTAATTTGTATTTTATATATATATATATATATTTTTTTATAAAAAATAAAGATTTTTATATTCAAGAAATGGATTTTAACGCCTTGTGTTTAAAAAGCATTCCGTAGGTAATTTATCAAAGATTAGCTTCTTTATCCGAATGAACATTTCAGCATACTGAGAATCCCGGATTTATGAGGAGATGTCGTTCTCGTCGAGTGTCCACGTTCGCAGAAAGAGAACGAAAGAGGGGATGAATGAAGTTACTTCGTATCACCCAGTGGTGCTCAGTGGTGCGTTCGTCATCAATTGTGGTGAGTGTGACGCGATCGTGTGGAAGAATTGGCTGGTAATTCACACGAGCAACTTACTTAGTGGCAGATGCTTTGGAACGTGTAAAAAGTTCCTTTCAGTCAGCTAGCAACGATGGTGACGATAAACGCGGATCTGCGGCGCGAGCGTGAGAGATGCAGCTTCGATCCCGCGGAGCTCACGAGTTTGTGGGACGGCGATTCGGAGAAAACGTTGCATCGGCACGAGCTAGGTGCGTCGTCTCCGATTAATTCACACGCCGCTCGCCGACGTAACCGTAAATCACATGGCGCAGTATCTTCGGGAAGTTTCTTCCACCGTGACGAGCCACGCGAATGTCAACGCCCAGCCAGCTCATAATTCCTGTTATCGGCTCATTACTCACCCTTTCATCGGTTGATAAAGCGTCGGATCTTACATGTTACATTCCTTCTCACATTTATATATTTTATAATAATCTACTTATTTTAAAGAAATAGAGGATGTGTTTAGACACAGACATGTTGTAGGAATATTCCTGAGTCAAGCGGAATTTTTAACACCTAATTATATTTTCTCTTCTTTTTTTTTTTTTTTTTTTTTTTTTTGAATTTGTACAAATTTAAAAACATTCACTTTCATCATTAATTATGTGCCATCACTTTTGATGGACTCGAAATGTAAAATCAGAATCTTTATCTTAATATTTGCTTTAATAAACCGATGATTCAATGAACAAAGTTCATCAAAACAAAATTCTTTCCCTATAAAGAATTTTGTACAAATATCATCTCGGCTAGGATTTCATTTTATTTTTTTCAAAAATAAATATATTATCTCTATTTATATATGTCAATTCGATTTATTATTCATATCTTGATGACTTCATTAAAATATGAAAAAATGAATTTATATTCATTTTTACGTATATTATTATTATTAGTACAATCAGTATTGCATACATTAGCATTGACCTTTCATATTTCTTATTGTTTGCTAGACAAAGAAGTAAGAGAGATAAATACACAGCTTGATTATAATTGGATATAATGGCGATCAAATTAACCTGAGAGAGAGAGAGAGAGAGAGAGAGAGAGAGAGAGAGAGAGAGAA